GGGTTTAGAGTTTAGGGTTTACAGTGGGAGGGCTCCATGATATTGATAGCAAGAACAGACGAAGAATCTACGCATCATATACACATCATACACACATTATATGTGTATAATATATATACACACACACATTACGCATATACGCATTCATGTATATACACATAAATACATGTGTCTAGATATATATATATATAAGCCCTGCAAATCACCTTAGCCATCCAGGGTTCAGCGGTTCAGCTTTGGGATCCAGGCTTGGAGTGCAAGTCTTCTGGCCTCGGGACCATTGCCCCTTGCCAGGGTTTTCGGGTCTAGGTTAGTCGCATGCAGTGGGGGTGCAACACGTCTTCGAAACCCATAGTGGTGGTTTCCTTGCGCGCTACCTTAAACAAACCCCAAACCCCAAATCCCAGGCTCTCCCAGAAAACCCCAAAGCCCAAAACTCTAAACCCCAAGCAATCAAATCAAGGACCCTGAAGCAGTCGCTGAAATTCCCCGCGCCCCAGAAAGGCTAGACTTTCAATTGTGCTAGGACATGGTAGTACTATGTATTACTACACACCATGGCTTGCTTTCGTTATCGGGTTGCATTCTGGGGTGGTATTGTTTGTGTACGACATTGGTCCCCCGGACTGGCCCCGAATTTGTCCTGGTCCCAAAACCACACTTGCGTTGGAAGAACACAAAGCGCAGCCGGTTGCGCTTTGTATTTTTCTATAGTGAACGCATTATGGGATTTCTTTTTTTGTCACAAAGCGCAGCCGGTTGCACATTGTGTTTTTCGACAGTGAAAGCCTCCCGGGGTTTGCTTTTTGGGCTTGTTTTTGTTGGCTTCCTCGCCCCGAAACCACTTTTCATTGGAGAAACACAAAGCGCAACCCGTTGCGCTTTGTGTTTTCTATAGTGGTAAACATCATGGGGCTTGGTTTAGTATGTTTCTTCGTCCCACAGTTTTCTGATTGGAACAACACAACATGCAACCCAGAAAGCTTGTATCTACCTAATATATATATATATATATATGCATATGCAAACATATATATATATATATATATATAAACACATACACGTACATACACAGATACACATACATATTACATGTATTATATCATGTATCTTGAACCAATTATATACAACCCGATTATATCTTGTATACCGCTCCATGGTTTGACACGGTGTCACACCATAATTGTTCATACAGCGTGACACAGCGTCACACGGTTTCTCCCTCCGACACTGCTTGACACTGTCCGACACTGTGGGACACTATGTAGGTTTTTGTGTCCGACACTGTTTGACACGGTGGGACATTACGGTTTCGGTTCATTGGTGCTAGGTACTGTGACACGGTGTCGGGCCAAGCCTTGGCATTGTTTTCACAAGAAGATAGAAGTTATACGGTATACGTTGATTTTGCTCAGGGCGTCGGTCTGTTTATGTAGGGGTGTCTGTCGGAGGCGAATTGTGCTTCAAACTCGTCTAAAAACGATTTCCAAACTATTTGTCACAACTTGTTTGCAGCGCGTGTCTGTTCACTCAGGGATTACTGACTGGAAGCTGAGCTTGAAACTATGTCCAAACCATTCCTAGATCATTCCCCGAACCATCTGCCACATGTATCGGAACCTACTCTACTCGACTCCACTCCACTCCACCCCACTCCTCTCCTCTACTTTACTCTACTACGACGACGAGGACGGGCTCGGTTTCAAGATTCAAGCTTCCGTTGTGTGATGGTGTCTAGAACTCACATCTAAGAAATTCAGTTCTGACAATCAACACAAACACAACAACTCCTATATCCGTATATCAATCTTTACTTATGACGTGGGCCTGTTTCCCTGTGGCAGGCAACTTTGCTCACAAACTACTTCCAAACTGTTCACAATCTGTTTACCCTGGGTCTGTGCCAGCGCATGTTGTGTATGCGTCGGCGGCAGCAGGGAATCCTTTCAGGGACACAGGCGGCAATGGCGGCCTCAACTCCACTCTAACAAATGTGTTGTCAACCCGGATCTCAAGACAACGCACCCCTCCGGCACTTCAGGGATTGCGAAAGGGCCTCGAGGTCACAGAATGCCCACGCCAAAGCCTGTTTTTTTTTGTTTTTTTGGAAAACCGGTTTGCGGCGCAGAACCGGTTTTTCAGAAAACGATTTTGGCGAAAACCGGTTTAGGATGTAAGGGAGTAGCAAGCACGACAGCCATGAACCACTCCGGAAATCTCATCAGCCAGACTCGGCAGCGTGGTTGCATGCTGTTCGCAACCACACTCCGGCTACTTTCCATCGCTAAACGGCTCTCTGACCGTCTATGCCGTCCAAAATGCTCCAAGCGGACAATCGAAGAACCGCTTCATGATGGAAAACAGCCAGCGAGTGGTTGCAAACAGCGTTCGCAACCACGTTGCCCAGTCTGTCTGACGACATTTCAGGAATCCTTTACAATCATGAACCCCTTTTCCGAAGAACCGGTTCCCCCTCACGCCTGAAAAGCTTGGTGTCAGGGAAAGGGTCGGTGCTGGGAGTAAGGTGTTGGTGCGATGGGTGGTGGGCTGGGGGTGTTCCTTCTTTTAAGCAATTGTTATCTGGTGCTTGTGGTGGCGGTGGTGAGTAATCAGTAGTCAGTGGTTAGTTTATGGTAGCAGCAGCAGCAGCAGTAGCAGCAACAGTAGCAGTAGCAGTAGTAGTAGCAGCAGCAACAGCTGCAAAGTACTGCACGTGCTGAACCCCCAGAATCCCGGACCAATCCCAAACCAATCCGAGACCAATCCCAAACCAATGCAAGACCAATCTGCACCCCAAACAGTGATGCAACCCGATAACGACAATTCAATGTTTCATTGCCCCTTGGGCTTATGCGATAATCAGGAACAGCACTCATCACAACTAACCGGCCAAACCGTCCTGAGGCCCTTCACTCCGTCTTAAGGCTTAGGTTCTGAGGGCCATGCACCACAAGTACTCGGCAAACCGGCTCCGAAATTGGCCTGCAAGCAATTGGATGACACAGGGGGTATACATGGTTTGCGGGCTTCAGTGGTGTAGAATTTAATGCCAGGATGCAAAAAACTTGGGGATTTCCTGTTTTGCATTGTGTAAAGTTGCTTTTCTTGGGGCTTCGAGGACTCTGTCTTGGGATCTCGCTGTCTTGGGGCGAAGGATTTGAGTTTCTTAACGGTCAGGCTTGGGCCCACTGTAGCTTTTCAAGTCTTTTTCAGAGCTGTTTTTGTTTTCACAGCGGTCTGGGGTTTGGGGTCTACGGCACATCGGAACTTCGAAATGTTGAGCTTGCGGTCTGTGAGGAGGTTGAGGCTTTACGAGGGCCTTTAAAGGGCTGTTGGGTTTAGGGGTGTGGTGGTCTAGTCCAGGGGGTTTTGGTAGATTTGGGGTTTGGGGCTCGCGATACTGAGCCACACTCCATACGGCTTTTTTGTTATAGTTTCCAACCTAGTCCTTTTCCAGGGATGGGGATTGAGTAATTCGGGGACTCTGTGAACCCTAAACCCGAAACCCTAAACCCCATCAGGTTTGCAGTTGTGTTCAGCTACACCGCGTGCTTTGCAGTGGCACTCGGCGGCTACAGGCGGCTTGGGGATTGCAGGTGGGAAGGCAAATAACAAGAGATAATCATAAGCAATAGCAATACTCGTAGTAGTAACAATAATGGCATCAACAATATTTAAACAAACGAACATCAGAATAACAATAATGCCAAACTTATGATACCAAGCAACCAGCGTTACCATCGCCGCCAGCGCCGCCACCACCACTTCCACCGCCGCCGGCGCCACCACCAACAACAACAGCAGCAACAAGAATCTACGACTCAAAGCGCATCAAGGTAGCCCTCAAGGTCCAATTCTAATGGAAACAGTAAAACTTATGGAATCTTGATGGTAATCGTAACTGTTTTCAGTAATTAGTTAGCATGAGCTAGGAATACGAAACAGTAAATAGTAATAGTACTCGTAATGGCGGTAATGGTCACAGTTGCTAGTATTGGTACAGTACTAGTGATATTAACACCCGAGGAGTACATCCAGCCAGCCACAACCCTAAACCCTAAACCGGCCTCAGGCTTTGTTGCGTCTGCCTCCGGCCTAGCAGGGGAGCGGCGGCACGGCACTCTTGAAGTGAAAGCTCTGCACCAAACCCGCCCCTGCCCCATAATCTTGCCCTTCAGGGTTAGGGAGTTCAGGGTTCTCTCCCTGACCTCGAGGATCATCTTCAGAGCCTTTGGATGCATTTTCTTAGCGGCTTCGTCGGCCGGTGTGTCTCCCCACTTGGAAGTGGCGTTGAGGTCGACACCGGCCTGAGCAGGGCGGAGCCGCACACGGCAGCCGTCGGGTCATGAGAGGTCGAGGAGCGCATTCCCCCCCCTCCCCCCCGCCCCCGTCCGAGGGCCCTGCTTTGATGAGGATGCGCAGCGCCTCCACGTGGCCCCTCCGAGCGGCGACGTGGGCCGGGGTCCGTCCAAAAACAATTTCCGCCGTCTCTAGGTCGGCTCCAGCCTCGCTCAGCGTGGAAACCGCCAAGAACCCTCTCTTTGCACTTTCAGAATATATGCCGCAGGAAAAAAAGCATCTCCTTACGAGGAGTCTTCTAACCATTCTAATCGCTGATCAAGCATAGAAAGACTCTGCGTGGAGCCGCAGCCCTGGCCTCCGCCAGTGCTTCCAGCGCCTTCGTGTCCCTTAAGGCGACTGCCAGGGCGGCCGGCGTGAGGCTCACGCTGCTTGTTGCACTCAAATTGGCGCCTGCCTCACAGCGGACTACGCAGGCGTTGAAAGCGGAGCAGCTCAGAGACGCGCCTCGTGGAGGAACTTCAGCGCCTCCACACGGCCGTTTTCTGCTGCGAAGTGCGCCGCGGTCCATCCGTCGTCCCCAAATTTTGCATTCAAGTCGGTCCCGGCCTCGGCACTGAGCAAACTTCGCACGCTCTGCCTCTCGCCTGCATTAAGTGAAAGTCACCCAGACCTTCCAAACATTCGCCCGAAAGAGTCGCCGCTTGCCTGCTATTGCGAGAGCAACCCCAACACGAAGCCGGGCCTGACGGTGCTGCGCGAGGGCCGCCACGTCGCCTTGCTTGGCAGCCTCGTTCAAAGAAATCGTGGGTTCCTCTGTCGCCTCCGTCTCCTCGTCCTGCTCATGCGGCTTTCGCTTTCAGACCTGGTTCTGACCTTCACGAAGTCTCCCAAACCTTCCTCCGAGTTAACTGAGGGCTTCCAGCAAAAAGGAGCCACGAACAGTTCAGCAGGCGGCAGCTTGGATTGATGTCAGTGCTGGATCTACTCTACCACGTCGGCCGGGTTCTGATCTTGGGCCCACAACGAGCCCATCGCATGTTTTGTATTTCTCCGCTGCCGGAAAAAACTGTTGACGGGTGTTCTTGGAAATTTTCTGGTGAAAGAAAACAAAAGGGCTCTGCCGCGCATGAACGGAAGCCAAATCCTCCATTTTGGGCAGGCTTGCGGAGTGGATGATCTCCGGCCCGTGAGCTTCATCCACGGGATTCCATCAAACAGAAGAATATAGCCTTAATGATTGGCGCAACGCTTGAGGGTATGTTATACGTTACTTATGATTAGGAACAGTTGTTGATTTCCTGCTGTTCTGGTCTGTTCCCATGAAGATTCCCGGGAGACCACCCGACAGCTGTGAGGAATCGGTTGCTTGGCTCCACTATGGGGCTGTGTCAGCAAGGCCCAAACAGTAGTGATATCGGAAGCCTTTTTGGTGCACCGGCAGATTGCAGATACGTGCTCTCGTGCGTCACGAGCAGGGCCAGCGGATGCTCATGATACGCCTTCTTCGGCTTCATGGCCGAGGAGGGTCTGTTTGGTGTATGGTTAAGGAGTTCGTCTCTTGGGGTGTGAAACCCCTGACATTTGGGGGAGTCGGCGGGAAACAAGCTGACTGATGCGCTTTGGAACATTCCCATGCGCCTCCAGCAGCATCTGGAAGAGCTTTCTCGTTTGGGCCAGCTGCTCCGCCGTTTTGTCGAACGACTTTTCAATTTCGGCGAGTCGAACCTTCCGCCGGGCCTGGTCAAGCTCTGGCTCTACAGTTCAGACAGATGCTTGCAAGTGAATGCTCAGTGCCGCGGCCGTGGCCGAGTTCCCCGGCGCAGAAACCTGTGAGCACGTAATTCCAGGGAATGAGGAAGGGTCGGGAAAGGTGTTAAAGGTTCAGCTTCCCAGGCCATATTTCAGACACCTCGAGCGGGGCCCCTGCTGCTTTATGTCTCTGCGACTTTGGGGCTCCGGGGTATGCCGCTTCCAACCGATTTTGCCAGAACGGTACTGGTGACCCCAGCGGCTCTTTACAAATCAATCCTAAATCCCAGATCCTACCAGTTACGTCAGGTCAGCGCCAGAGAAAGGAACCCGTGCCCAAAGCATTTGAAGCCCAGTGCCGAGAACCCAGCTCGGCTGCCATCTGCAAGGGCCAGTGCGGCCAGCAAAAACAGCCCGGCCACCTTGGGTTTTGGGTTTACATCATTGCCAGATGTTGTGACGTTTGCGGCCCGATATGATCGTTGGCTTCGTCATTCGGTTGCAGGAGTCGCGTGTCGGTTGCCGTAGAACCAGTGTAGGAGCTCCGCAGAACCCTGACATCAAGATCGTGCATGCAAACCCCACGTATGGTCGGAGCCTCAACAGAACAGGTCTACAAGCCGGCGAGAGAAGTCCGAGAACACCTAAACCCTAAACCAAATGTCGTTCTAGACATACTTCACTTTAACCAAGAGTTTCAGAAGGTGCTCCTGAAGAATCAACCAATCAAGAAAAAACCAATCAAGAAAAGATCACGGCCGCTAGCCGTTCGCGCGGCTAACCGAATCTCAGCCCGAAGCATGCATTACGCAGGTCAGGCTTGGATTTGACAGACAACGCTGCAAGTTGTACTAAGAGACTTCGAGCCCAAAGCTGTTCGGGAGCAGTGGGTGCACATGGTGTACACTGCCGTTCGGTGTTTTGAACGCCCGAAAATTGAGGCTAACTCCAACAGGATCTTCCCGAACGTTTCATGCTTTCCGAGGTCTTCCCCGACATTCCTGAAAGGCCGAACCTTAGGTGACCGAGGCCCTGTTATGGCTTCCCTTCCCGAGGCTTCTGTGGGCAGCAACGGGCATGGGAGTACGCGTGAGCACAGTGAAGGGAAGGACAGAACTAAGTCGTAAGCTCTGCAAAATTAGGCCTTGCGGGCACAGAGGCTTGCCACTCGCACGCCGGAACTTTAAAACCCGAAAACTACTGAACCCTCAAACCCCGCGCGATTCCGGTTTTTAGCCTGAGGCTTTCAAGTCCAGCAAATCCAGGCTTTGGAGCCTCCTCCGGCGGACGCCAGCGCCTGGTCGGTGAGCGAAAGGGCCGAGCTGACAAAAAACGGAAAAACAGCCCATGTGCTCTCATCTTGTGAACCTCAACATGGGGGCTTCAAAATTGACGAGGCTGTTGCGGATGCAGTCCCGGCATGAAAGGAGAGAATTCCAGAGCCAGAGCTTGGAAAACCCCACAAGAGTCGGAACTGCAAACTCCCGCCACCAAACCTACCGAGCCCGGCGCAGACCGACCTGCCATGCACCCTAGGGATTAGGGTTTATGGCAATTTACCTCTTGTGGTGCCCTTCTTGTTTCTCGCACTCCCTGCTTCTGTCTCTCGCCCGCTCCCCCCCAAATCCTAAATCTTAACCCCCTACCTTCCTGAGCCTAAGAACCCCAAGTAACTCGCTCACTCGCTGGCTCGCTCGCTCGCTCGCTCACTCACTCACTCACTCTCTCGCTCTCTCTCCCTCCCTCTCTCTCTGTCTCTCTCTCTCTCTCTGTCTCTCTCGACGAGGCCTCGCATTTGGGACTCCTTTGAGCCCGAAGCCCGCCCCAAGCCCACGTCAACCCGCATCCACATCCTGAAGCCCAAACCCTAAACCCTAAACCACAAGCATCCAGAGGGACTCCCCAAACCCATGCCATTAAGGAACACTCCTTTGCAATGATAGGAAGCCATGGGAAACCTGTGTAATTTCTGTGTGCATCGGAGTTTTTGTTATGTAGGAACCTCAATATACAGAACAAAGTCTTCGGGGTATACTCTACTATCATTGCAGATGGACTACTGTGCGGGCCTTAATGATTAGAATAGGGTCTTGGGGTATACTATACTGTAATTCTAAAAGGAACCCCCAACATAGTATAGGTAATTATTGAGGACCCTACATTAAGCAGGGAAAACATCCCTTTCTGTCATTGGGAACACCGATGCACGGCGAGAGTTCTGAGCTCAAACTTGAACCGTGCGATCGCCATAGCGGAAAGCCTCCATGCGACTCCCACGGTCTCTGGTAAGCGAGTGCCTGATGGTCTTGGTGTGGTGATGAGGGTTCAGGATTTGGGGCTCAGGGGTTTAGGGTTGCCCTTTCTTCGGGTGCCCTGACCTGCACCAAAACCCGTCGTTCAGTTTTTGTTGAGTGTTCTACGATTGATTGTTGGGTGTAGGACTTAGAGACAGCTCTTGAAGGGGGCTATGCAGCAAGCCACCAACAACACTTGGGCAATCCTGGTAAAGCTAAGGGAAAACTACCAACCCGAAGAAAAGCTTGGAGAACCCTAAAGCATGTGACCCTTTAAATCCTTGTAAGACCCTGTCTATCTAAATCATAATACCTTTCAAGTTACATTCCTTCATTCAGGGATACTGCAGCATTCAAGCCCCGAACGCCACCCTTTGAGCTCCCGACACTGCAAACAAAATCGGAGGCCTGGACCTAACGCCAACATGCAGCCTCGCAACCCCAACCCAGAACATGCATCGTCTTCCCCTCAAACCTCCACAACTCGCAACAACGAAGCCTTTCTGCACGTCCCCATCCTAAATCAATGCTGAAGCCCTTAACCCCTATCTAAACCCCTTACCCTGAACCTCTCGACTCAACCTTCAACACCACAACAACATTCATGGAGGCGGTGTCATGCCTGAAGTCTGTCTGCCCCGTCTGCCCCGGCCTGGCAGGGAGCGGTGCCCTTCGTAAAGTGAAATGAAAGCTCCGCACCAAACCGGGCTTAGGGTTTAGGGTTGTGAGGGTAATGGTGCCCATACTGATTCCCCTTACGGTTGAGGCTTCCTTCAGTTCCCTCCCTGAGCTCCAGCATCGCCAGTTTTCGGCCCTTTTTAGACTCGGTCTCCCGACCCCAAGCCCCCAACCCTAGATCCTCCCTGGACACTCACCCCTAAACTCCTTAAGCCCTAAACCCTAAATCTAGGATCCTGAACTCCCGAAACCCCTTAACCCTAAATTGACCCTAAACCCCCGAAGCCGTAAACTGCGAAGCCTAGTATAGGGCCTTAATAATTAGGAATAGGGCTTTGGGGCCCACTCTACTAAAATCATAACAAGGAACCCCCAAAATAGTATTGGTAATTATTTAGGCCCCTAATATATTATACTATGACTATCATAAGGAACCACCAAAAAAGCACAGGTAATTTTAGGTCATTGAAGCCCTTAAACCCCAGACCTTAAACCCTGCACCCTAAACCCCTGGACCATTGAGGCCCCTACATTACGTTTCGAAGCTTTGATCTTCGAAGCTTTGATCTTTGAGCTTTTTCTCCTGAATGCCTCAATTTCCGGCCCCAGAAACGCTAAAACGCAAACTGTGAGCGCTGAAGGCTTAGGGTGTCGGGCTTAGGGCTTAGGGGCTCAGGGTTTAGGGTTTAACGGTTTAGGGGTTGAGGGTTTTGAATCCGAAACGCAATGGCAAT